TTGGCCTTGGACCAGTGCTTGCACCAACTGTTGGTATCTCGAGGGCAAAATTTATGACGCTCAAGCGGATCATTTGTGTTTGTGAAATGAAACAGTATTGCATATATGGCCTTTTTCATAGCATAAACATGGGAAAGGTTTGATCTAATTGCCATACCATAATGATTTTGCATGAAATCAATACATTTACCCGTCAGTTGAACTTTTCAAGAGACAGGAGTTTTTGTACCCTTGTAAGATTTAACAAGGTTGCGTAATCGGGTTCCTAATCGTTTCTGCACATGTCCAACGCATTCAAGCGTAATCGGTGTTAAACTATGTTTTACATATGGTTCAGATCTAACAACATCATTAAAAGAGGAAGTATCACGATCACAAAAATATTCTTTGTAAATTATGTTGTGCCTAATAATTGACCGGTTAAATTATTAACAGCACCAGATGATTCCATCGCACCAGAGGATTTTTCATGATTTATTTGACAGTGGTGATCAATTTTCCATAAATCATATTCAAGTGAACCTTTTTTATTCACCCGCATTTTGCATCCAAAGCAGTGCTTTGACTTTACTACCATATCTAAACACTTATCACCTGATATCGCAGTTACTACCCCATGCAAAGAGGCATGTCCTCTTTTTTGCCAGGAACCGTCAATGGAAACACGTACACATTTTATGTTATCTCCTAAATCTATTTTTTGAGCTTTTTCAGCAGCACGTTCCATACAACTCTTTGCAACATTTGTGTAGACTGTCATTAATTTCTTGTTCAACAGTTTGAAAGAGAATGATGCCATGGACTTCAAGTTCATGATAGAGGAAAATTTCTGCATAGATGAAAATCCACAACCTATTTCCCGAAAACCAATTACAGCTCGTGCATTTACATCAAGTGTTTTGCGACCTCTAAAATCACTTTTTAGATTGTAGAAAGTCTTAGGAGATGTATAAAAAGGTTTCATCCAATCACATATTAAACATTTTAAAAGAATACAATGTGCAAAACCCATTCGCTTTAAATGTTGATAAATAACAACAACGTCAGCAGCACAATCAGGACATAGTATAAGTTCACGACAAATATATGCTAACACAATAAAATTAAGAAATAAGAAAAAGTTTTCAATATTATCAACCAAGCCCTCTGAGTTAGACTGATCAACAGTATAAGAAATCTTTTTTCCTGAGGATGATTGAAGGGATTCACCAATAACACAAGGTGTCACAGTAAACTTTGGTCGTTTTGAAACAATTCCATTCCATTTTTTTTTTTGCTTCGAGAAATTTTTTTTTACTTTTTGATGTGTTCTTTATATTCTTACTTTTACTACTATCTTCATGAAATTCCATTGTATTAATTATTAAAACAATCTAAGTTCAAAGACATACGGTTCTCTAAAGAGCAAATTTTGTAAATAATATCTGTCTGAGTAACGTTTGTGACTTCAAAATATGATACTTAGACCGTTAAAGATTGCAAATACATCCTTGTGAATGTACTGAGTAAAATAAGGCACATATTATGATAGGAAAATAAAGAATAATCTTCTGTTAACGGTAACTAGGTAAGTTGCTATGGACTCTGATGTTACCCAACAGTGTTTTAAAGTGTAAATATGGACCAAGAAATATTTTTTATTGTTCCCAATATTAGTTGCATGAAAATAGACATATCAAAGGGTGAAAATCCACCATTAAAAAAAATTTTACAAAATTTTTTTTTTCGATCATTATTTGCATCCTTACCACCTTAATAGATGGACATTTAACGTATTGTTTAAAAGCCAAGTACTTTAGAGTTTTTTGGTGTTACTTTTCATAACACCAAAAAACTCTAAAAAGTTTATAAATAAATAAAACCTTTTCATTTTATGATGAATAAACTCAAGCGAAATCTTTACATGGAAAATAAAAGTTAATCACAGAAAAATATCAAAACAAAATTGTAAGTGAAATACAAAAATGAGAAATTTAAATACTTAAAATAATAGTGAAAACTAAGTGTAGGGAATAGAGACCACAAGTAATCTATAGTTCGATCTATATATGATCTATAGTTTTACCTACAACATCTAGAAAAATCGTTTCACTTTGCAGTTTTCATTCTTGCTAACTACATATCACTTTTTTACAAAAATATGATTTTTGACGTTTTATTAATAATAAGTTTTTATTAAAAAGCGCTTAAGTATCAAGTTTGACATTTTAAAACAGATGAGCTATTTCTAATTAATTAAAATGCACTAATTTAAAAAAAAAGTTAAAGTTTTGTAGGTAGTTGCACTTTTAAAAAAAATTAGTTAGGAAAGCGAAAATATTGAAAAAACGTCTAAAAAAACATTACTTTTTTTCTAATTAACAGTCATCTCACATATGCTAATATTGTGTGTGCTAATACACACAAAACAAAATTAATCAAACTACAAGGCTTACGAAACCATGGTTGTAAAGCAATTCATTATCTAGGTAGAATGTACAATCCTACTTATGCAATGACAAATATGAAAGTCGTAAACTTAAAAAAACTTATTTTATACCAGATTCTAATCTTTATGCTCAAATGTAAAAATAATATGCTACCCAACTATTTTTTAGACATATTTTCGCCATCATTTTCTCAAAGTTATAATCTGCAATCAAATAGTTTCCATAACTATTACATTAAAAAACTAAAACCCGGGATTCTGAATTTTCAATTACTTCACAGGGTCCCAAAATATGGAAAAACTTGAAAAATCAAAAATTAAAAAACTTAAATGGAATATCGTCGTTTAAACGGCAAGCAAAGCTGCATATTCTTAGTTTGTAAAAATGATTGCAGTCAGAGGGGATTTTTCAAATAAAATGAGGGTAGGGGGATGGTGAATTCAAAAAATATGCTGCAAAAAAAAAAAAAAGAAAAAAAAGAAAAAAAAAAAGGTCCTCAAAACGAAAATTTAACCGACTACCCGAATTCGTAAAAAAACCGACTGAAATTTGAAAATCACCATCATAGGAGTAGGGGGGTTTTACACCCCTTAAAATCGCCCCACACAATCCCCCCTCCCCGTAAAATCGCCCCTGATTGCAATATATTTAAAAAGTTAAGGTGGCACACAACTGAAAAAAAGCAAGTTTTTTGAAAAAAATCAATTTTTAGATTTTTGGGTATTTTGATTCTATAACCATTCCTTGAACATATAAAAAAAAAAATTAGTCTCAAAAATGATATAAAAGTTGATTTAATATCATTTTAGTAGATGACACTTGAATATAAATTCCCTAACAACGCCTTAGCAACCATCAGTCTTAGGAGTTTTTCTGAATTCAAAACAGTAAAACACCATCACAAACTTGGTTTTAATTTGTTATACGCAGACTCTTGTTAGTTTTCCGTTTTAAAAGTCATAATTCAAAATTTTATTTTAGAGCAAGAGTGTTTTTGATAATTTTTATGTTCTTATACATTTTTTTCTTATTTTTGCTTTTTTCTCAATATGTATTTTTTTAAACTTTGAAACACATTTTCTCATTATTAAAACAGAATTGCATAATAAAATTTTCAGAATTTGTTTATCATAGTATAATACTTCATTTAACCCTCAGAATTTTCATGAAAATTTATAGAAAGTGAAATATTGATGTTTATAGTGCTGGATTTATTGATATTTCATATATATATTAGGTGATTTTGTTAGAAATGCAATATTTCATGAAATAATTTAAATCATAAAAATTCCCACGGTCAAGCAGGGTGAAATATGATTAGGAAGCTATGTTCAAAATTTTAGTTTCAGTTGTTAAGGCAAAATTAAGTTATTAGGTTTTAAAGATTTACTAAAAACACATGTTTTACAACACATTTCTGGCCATTATGGATAATAAAATTGATAAAAAAAAAAATTATCTGTTTTTTATTTTATTTTAATATAAATTAATTGTCATTAAAAAAAAAAAAAATCAAAATTTTAATTATTTACAAAAAAACTTGTTTTCAGTTGTGTGCCACCTTAAATATATATATATATATATATATATATATATATATATATATATATATATATATATATATATATATATATATTTTCAATACATGCAAGTTAAGGTATATATTTTTGTAATATATTTGATTTTTAAGCTTTCTCATTGATCACTTAAAAAATGTTATGAGCTGTAAGGCGCAAAAAGTTATGAAAAGTGTCAAAAAAATTCAAAGACAACTTAGCTAAAAAGTATATTAAAAAGAAAATAAAGGAAAACAAATTCCGGATTTTTTTTTGGATATTTCATTAATTTTAAAATATGATTAGGATGATCTATGTATACAGTTATAAGTGCAGTCTACTAATTATATAATAATAAATGATAAAAACCTATTAGTAATATAACATATTAGGTTTAAGGTGCGTTCTGAAGTATTTATACTTTTAAGATGAATAAATATAAAACTTTGATTAAAACTATTAGCATAAAAAAAGAGCTTCTCTAATATACCGTGCTGTGTTATAGATTTATAGATATACTTATAGATTTACTTTATAATATATAATTATAGATATACTTATAGATTTTCAAAAATTAAAATTTAAAATTTATAAGAAAAGGGTAAACTTGGTCTATTTCCCCCTCTCCTCCTATGAACCCATCTCGTTTTAATGTTGATATAATAATTTTTTCAATTTCTATTTTTGATAGGAAATACTCTGAAACTTGAGTGACAACTGATAGGAGAGAAGGCCTTGAAACCATTAAGTTTTTATCTATAGAGATGTTTTTGATTTATTGCTAAGTGTTTATGAAAACCCAGAGATTGCTATTTAATTAGAGACAACTATAGAACTTACTAAAATTGATAACCTTATTGCTATGAAGAAAATAATAGATCATATCATAACTACAGATAAAAGACATATCAAATATAAATCAAAAGTTTTATTATTGAAATATACAGAAACATGTTCTAAAAAAAGTTCGGTTAAACGGATCTATTTTTGTCATGTTACAAATAATTGAACGGGCTCTACTCTATCATGTTTAAATCTTTCAAACGACGACTTTTACTATTCAGAATTTTAGTTCTTTTGTTCTTTAATTTTGTTCTTGCAGTTTTATATTGAACGTCTATTATTTTCTCCTCCAAAAACTGAAGAATTTCTTTTTTGTCTAACAAAAATAATTGCAAAATTTATATTTAATAGAAGTTTATATGTGTAAATAAACATTGAAACTATTTAATTAAAAAAAATTTACCAGGCATTTTGTTTTCATTAATATAACTTTGAAAGTGTTGTATTAGTTGTGTCTCCTCATTCAAAACCCATTTATGATATTTTCTTTCTGAAATTTGTTTTTCAGTTAAAAAATTTACACAAATGTTTTGTTTAACAATGTAATACATTAAAAACTTAACAAAAGTATTTTCATTGTATGCATTTATAATTAACAACTATTACTATAAATACTAATAAAAACCTGTCTATCTACTGTTATTTAATAGTTTCACCCTGTTACATAAGTTATTATTCTAAAATATACCTGGCACAATTTCAGGTTGGTAAATTTTTCCTTCTTTTTTGTTTGTACCTCTGCTTCTTGTTTGTACGTCTTATAAATGTTTAAAAAAAGAACTTTATTAAATCATGTTTATTGACATGATTATATATATTTTTAAAAGAAATATGTTTTTAAGGAAAGATATTACAGATAATTATATGTAGTATTATAAATATGTTATTTAATTATGTTTTAAGAATATTTATAAACATTCTAGCATAAAAGTTTAATTAACATTTTAACTTTGTTATTTTTTGAATTTAGCTTAATTTTAATGTTTATTGGACCGTTTTATGAAACAATGTGCACGCTGTGAGACACAAAGAACACTGATATACCGCCGCGTTTTTATGTCGTGACACTCAAATAAAACCATTTTTATTTAGTTTTGTTTGGAAATAATCCAAAAAAAATTTTAAAGAGTCACAAATGGAGCAAAAGGGTTAAAAGAAGGGCCAAAATCAAATTTGCTGAATGTTAAAATAAATAGGCTAAGGCTGAAATAAACACTCTTTTATTCATAATATTTCACTAATTTATTTAAAAATAGAAAAGAGCAATGTTAAAACTAAATAAAAATGCTAAGGGTCACGATCGGGGCAAAGTTGAGGTAAAATTGACGAGCCCTATTAAGAATTTTAGATGCCATTTACAGTTTTTTTAAAAATTGTTCATTTTATTGGCAAAATTGACCTTTTAGACCAGTCAGTCCGTAAATATAGACTGACTTGTCTAAAAGGTCAATTTTGCAGACAAAATGAAAAGAAAGTTGTTCATTAGTTCACTTTGACATACTGTTCTAGAGCCTTTTTGAACAGCCAGTAAATGAATTTTAATAAGCAAGATTTTTTTAATCAGCTAAATTTGTAACTGTACATCACTCCCCACCCCCACGTGACACCTAATGCAATGTTAAAGCTTAGAAAACTACAATAAAAAATGCAAATATTTAATTGAAAAAAAAATTAAAGTAACATATGCTTAACTACCATATCTAGTATCTAGTGATTGTTGAGCATCAATTTGACTTACAAAACACTCCAAAGGAGTAAATGCACTGGAATTTGCACCTTGATTAAATAAAAAGAGTTCAACGTTTTTGCATTTAACTGTATCTAAGAAATTTTATCTGTATAAATAAAAAAAATATATTACGCACAAATAACTAATATATTAAAAAAAATAAGGTGACGAATGCCAAACTACCATATCTAATATCTGTAGAGTTTTTACCTTCACTTTGACTTGCAAAACACTCCAAAGGAGTAAATGTTCTTGAACTTACACCCTCATTAGATAAAAAATAGTTTAACATTTTCTAATAAAAGTGTATCAATAGAAATTTTATTTGTATAAATTAACAAAATAAATTAAACTAAAACATTCAAACTCTTAAAAAAACGTAAGTATATCAGCATAACTACCACATCTTGTATCTGTAGATTTTTGACGATTATTTTGACTTGCAAAACTCTCCGATGGAATAAATGTATTAGAACTTGCACCTTTATTAGATAAAAAATACTTTTACATTTTTGCATATAAGTTTATTGATAAAAATGTTTTTTTTTTTTTTTGTATAAATCTAATAAACAAATTAAAACCGAAACATAAATTTTGATAAAATAAAATTTATTAGCAACTGCATAAATACCATTTCCTATATTTGAAGATTTTTGACTTTTGTTTTGCTTTGCCAAACTCTCTGATGAAATAAATTTACTGGAACTTGCACCTTCATTAAATGAAAAGAGTTTTACATTTTCGCATGTAACTTTTATTTATATAAATCATAAAACATATTAAAATCCAAATATTTAGTTTGTTAAAAAAAAAAAAAAAGGAAACCAAAGCGTAACTACCATATCTAATATCTGTAGATTTTTGACGTTCATTTTGACTTGCAAAACACTCCGAAGGAGTAAATGTGCTGGAACTTGACCTTTATTTGATAAAAAGAGTTCAACATTTTTGCATATAAGTTTATAGATAAAAGGTTTTTCTGTATAAGTCATATAAAAAAACTAAAACCTAAACATCACTTTTGTTAAAATAAAATTTATTTATAACTTCATAAATACCATATCTTTATTTGGATGAAAAGAGTTTAAAATTTTCGCATATAAGTTAATAAACCAAGTTTTTATTAGTATAAATCATAGAAATATAATAAAACCCAAATACTTAAACTGTTAAAAAAAGGTAACAAATGCGTCACTACCATATCTAATATCTGTAGAATTTTGACCTTCGTTTTGACTTTCAAAACAATCCAAAGGAGTAAATGTATTGAAAATTGCACCTTTATTAGATAAAAATAGTTTAACATTTTCTAATTAAACTTTGTCTATGGAAATTTAATTTTTATAATCTAAAACACAACACAACACTCCGAAGGAATAAATGTACCTAAACTTGCATCTTCATAAGATTAAAATAGTTTAACATTTTCTAATATTAGTTTATCAATCGAGATTTTATTTGTATAAACTATAGAACTAAATTAAACCATAATATTCGAAAGTTTAAGAATATGCAAATACAACTAGAATACTACCATAACTTGTATTTGTTGACTTTTGACGTTCATTTTGACTCGTGAAACTCTCCGATGGAATAAATGTACTAGAACTTGTACCCTCTTTAGATAAAAATACTTTTACATTTTTGCATATAAGTTTGTTGATAAAAGGTTTTTTGTTTAAATCATATATATAACTTAAAATCCAAATATTTCTTTTGCTAAAAAAAAGTTAGGTAACAACTTTATAAATACCATATATTGTATATGCAGATTTTTGACTTGCATTTGGATATGCAAAACTCTCTGATGGATTAAATGTACAAGAAGTTGCACCTTTGTTTGATGAAAATAGTTTTAAATTTCTCATACAAGTTGATTAATAAAAATTTTGTTTTTATAAATTATAAAAACAATTTAAAAGCTAAATATGTTATTTGTAAGAAAAAAAATTACAACTGCTAGTTACCATATCTTTTATCAGTAGATTTTCTTGCATTTTGACTTGCACAACTCTCCGAATCAGTAAATAAACTAGAACTTCCGCCTTTATTAGATAAAAATAGTTTTACATTTTTATAAAATAAGTTTATCAAAATTAAATTTTATATGAATAAATCATAGAAATAAGTTGAAGCGCAAATATTTCAATTATTAAAACAAAGTATGTAACATCTTCGTAACTACCATATCTTGTATTTGTAGATTTTTGACTTGCAAAACTCTTCGAATGAGTAAATGTAATGGAATTTGCATCTTTTTCAGATAAAAATAGTTTTGGGAATCAATGTGATTTAAATTTGTATAAATCATAGATATTAGTTAAGAAGGCAACACTTAAGTTGTTAAAAAAAGTAAAACTGCATACTTACCATAACTTGTATCTGTAGATTTTTGACACTCATTTTGACTCTCCGGTGGAATAAATGTACTTGCACTTGTACCTTCATTAGATAAAAATACATTACATTTCGCATAGTTTTTCGATCAAAGGTTTTTTGATCAAAGGTTTTTTTATATAAGTCAAAAAAATATTTTGTTAAATACGTTGTAAAATATACTAGATAAAATGAATAAAATATATTTCTAAACATGATATTTTTTTTTTCATGGTTTATAAAATAACAATGATAATTTGTTAATCTTAGTTTTTTAACTGAAAATTAGTCCAAAAAGATACTAATTCTATATTCATAAGTCTTCTTCCAACTTTCACAATATCCAACATACCTAGCGGTATTTGATATGTACTTTTATTGGTTTCCTCTGAGTGACCTATATCTTTAAACCATAGATCCCTATCTTGTGTTGACAAATCAAGTGTTGCGAAAATAGAACTTAATCGATGTCTATTTTTTGTAGCGTTGAAGTTCTCTGGTTTTTTTAGGGGCAATGTTTTTACTATACTATCAATTGCATTCCATCCAGAAGTATGACCATTAGAATTTCTGGTACACGCAAAAAGATAAGGATTGTTTTTAGGAATGTTGACTTTATTTCTTATACTTATATTAGAAATTGTAGATAATGCCCTCAGATTGTCCGCCAGAATAATAACTGGAACTCTATGAGTTCCTTTACCTGCCATATATGCTATTTTAACCGACTTTATTAAGTCTTGATCTTTTTCATTAAACTCATGGAGACAATGTATATCTATGTATTCGTCCCCAACCGCTTCATTGTACTGACTTAATAATAATCTTGCTGGTTCGCCGCCTTAAAAATAAATTTAAAGTATAAAAATTAAATTTAGCAATTTAAATAATACACAAAGTTTTTGGTTTGTATGTAACAAAAATCAAACATTAAATTAAATGGTACTAACTTATTAAATTAAAACAACAAGATTGCTATCCCAGCAAAAATTTGGTCTAAAGAAGACATTCAAACATCTAATGGCTTTAATAGACGTATTAAAAATGTCTGTTTTGGACCAGGTGTTTTCTGGGAGAGATCATGATATTTTATTTACAGCAAAATTGATGAAATTTTAATTCTGGGAGAGATCATGATATTTTATAATCACAGCAAAATTGATGAAATTTTAACCTAAAAATTGCCAACTTTGAGGTAAATTAGATTGTTTGATTAAAAATAATGTCACGTCTCATTTAGGGGAGAAGGAAGGAGTTGAAAAAAATGTCACAAAATGTTACATGGGTGTCACGCGTTATTTGTAAAGCCCCTAAAAATATTGATTAACAATTATAATAAAAATAAAATAAAAAGTGTACATTTTGGAGTAGTGTGGGCCAGTTAGTGCGGACCAAAGTCAAGAAAAAACATTTGTGCAAAGTAAAAAAGGGAAATAAATCGATTCGCGCTAAATTTCGTAAAGGTAATAAAAATTGATATAAAGTATCACTGTTTAATGTCTCAACTTATTTCGCATTCACATAAATTGTTTAAGCCTATGAAACAAATGCAAATAATTGTACTATACGGCATTCACTGAAGTTTTTTGGCATTATTAAAGGGCAATAACAAATAACTGTAAATGACTTGATTTATATTAATAATACAATATTATAAAAATGACTCACAGGAAATAATTTGAAGGATATTGGAGGACGTCTTATCTAATACCAAATAGTAAAGGTTAACAACAACAAAATTATTAAAAACTGCCTGTTACTGATGCATAAAAACTAATTGCCATACACATACATTAAACTGTTTTGTACAAAAGGTCTGAACAAAAAAACAATCTTAATTCAAACAAAATAAAAATGATACCTAATAAAATTAATTTAAAATTGAAGAGTAAGAAAGCTGATAGTTAAAATATGCAGAATGGCGTTTTAAAACACGTCAAATTTATGAATGATTGCATAAATAACGTTTTAAATATTATTTAATGTTTATTTAACTTTATATTTCTTCTAATCAAAGGCGATTCTACAAATGAAATGAGGGGGAGGGGTGAACCCTTAAAATTTACCGACTAGTAACAAAAAAAAAAAAAAAAAAAAAAGTCCTTAAAACAGAAATTCAACCGACTAGCGACTAAATTTGTAAAAAAACCGACTATAACTTGAAAATCATCATTTTGGGGGAAAGGGGGGAGGTGGTAAATGTTGCGAGTAAGGGAGTGTATACCCCCTCCTCCAAAAAGTCGCCCCTGCCTCTAATAAACATATCTTCATCATTATGACAATAATTTAGCATGTACTGTTGACAATGATTTTTTGGTATTTTGGTACAAAAATACTAAAAAATAAGTCTACCTCTTTACTCTATCCCACTGAGCATTGAGGCAGAATAGCTTCGAAAATTGTAAAAAGCTTTTTTTTTAGTTTTACACTTTTCAGTTATATAATTATTCTAACTAATTATACTAAAATAATCAATTTAATAAAACAAAATTTAGTAATTTGATTTTAATGTAAAAAGTAAGTTTGATAAATTTATTAACATTTAAATTTGCTTTACTATGCAACAAATAGTTAATAAAACAATAAAAAAATGTTACGTCACTGACAAAAAACTATACATACAATACTTCACTTTTATCCTTTTTATTGATAAAAATGAAATATTCAATGCAGTTTTTATTTTAGATGCCTCAAAAGGTCCTTACACTCTTATTGCAAAGCACCGCGGAAAAAATTCAATAGGAACTTTAAGTCTCCTTCTTTATCGATCTTGAAAAACTTTTTTGGTCGGTTTGAACCACAAATCCTTTGGCATATTTGGGCATATTTATTTCATTTAATCAATAATTTACATAATTCTAAATATCTTTTGAAAAAAAAAAAAATATTTTCAAATTAATAAGATAGACAATAGGCCCGCAAAACTTATTTTTTTCATTTTACCTGTTCGTCATTGAATCTAAATTATAAAACTTACGTATATTTACACTTTAAGTATTTGAATATTATGTTAATTATGATAACATGGACAATTTTTAGAAGTTTACATATTTTTTCCTATAAATTTGCATATAGTCCCAAAAAGAAAAATAAATAAATAAATAGGTGATAATAAAATAAAAATAAGATAATAAAATATATAAAAATAAATGTTTATATTGGAAACATGTATTTTTATATAACTGATCTTCTTTTTATGGAGAACATTCAATACTATTTTTTTACTATTTGTCATATTTTTGGGCTATATTTTATAAATATAAATAAACATTTTTTAATATTGCTTAACCCCCCTTTTGTTTAAGTCTCATATTTATTGGACCTTTTTTTGACAATTTTTTTTTTATAAGTCGAACAAATGTTATTATAAGATTTTGTGAGTAAATTCGGATATATCCAATTAATCGCGGTGCTCTGTGATAAGACCGTTAGGTCTTCTTGGGACACCTAAATAACAATGAAAAAAAAGCAAAAAAGGCATGATTGGTCTCACAAATTTGCTAAAAACATATTGGCCATCGTCTAAATTTTATACCCATAAAATTATATTTTTTTTACCATTAATATTACAAAGAAAAAACCTTTGTTTCTTTATATTTATAAAAGTGTATTCTTCAGTAACTTTACTCAAAATTATATAATATTTTGCCAAAATATTTTATAAATTGTAAAGACATTCACTTCATAATTAACAAGACACTGGCTTGTAATCCATTACATTCATCACTATAATAGTGGATTTCAGAATATTAGTAAATTTTAATAAATAAATTAAAATATTTCCGAAAAATAGTCACAAGGAGGATAATGGGATATAACCCTGCAGCCCCTTCCTAAAACCGGCCACTGATCTTACAATGATAAAGATTTTAGGGTTCACCTTAAAAGAGTAAATACATCAGCAAGCACCATAAAAAGATAAATACTCCAGGGTGAACCTGAAAACAATAAATACTTGCTGCACCTTAAATTAATAAGTGCTTAAGAGTGCACCTGAAAATGATGAGTATTTGCACCTAAAAATCAAGAATACTTTGAAATGCATCTTAAAATGATAAATAATTAAGGGTGGTAAACATTTAATGGTACACTTTGAAATTAAAAATTCTTTAGGATGCACATAAAGTTAATATTTGTTTTAAAACGCATTTTAAAATAGTTCATGGTGCACCTAAAAATGATAAATATATCAGAGTGCCCTTTTAAAATGATAAATATTTTAACGCGCATCTTAAAGTCACAAAGACAAAATCGTGGGGTGCACCTTTTTTTTACATTTTTGGTCGTATTACAATTATATATTTCAAAAAATAAAAAATAATGAACTTTCACAAATTTTTGATAAACGAAAAAACAAGGTTTCCTAAAGAAGATCAAAGGATCTTACAAGCATTTAACAAAGGAACTACAATATTAAACTTCTACAAATGTTAAGTAAAAAGTATAAAAATCAACAAAATAAGTAAGAAAAAACTTTATATAAATGTAAATAAGTAAAGGCAAAATGTAAAAGATTAAGGCTTTTAAAAAAGCAAAACTTAATGGGTACTTTGAAATTAAAATTCAGCAAAACAGTTTTATTCCAAAGATATGGTGCCCGGTAGGCAATACAAAATTGATTAAAGTTCGTTTGACAAAAAGGTTGTCGATATGATGATTTCAAGTGATGTTTTCATCAAAATAAACACCTAAAAAAAAATATATTTTTTTTAATTTCATTTTGATCGATAAAAATTTTAGGTAAGTTTAATGGCAAAAACCGTTTTTTGAAAAGCGAATGGAATAAGGTCCACTTTGTTTTATTAGTATTTAGAGTTAACTTATAACATAAAAACCAACTCAATACATGTCTAAATTCTTTTTTCATTGTTTTAAAAAGTTTAAAGGTATCACTGTTCACACAAAACAATTTCTGCTTCATGGTGCCCCTTAAAATGATAAATACTTTAGCGTACACCTAAAAATAAAAAAATATTTCAGGGTGCACCTAGAAATCATAAATACTTCACGGTACATCTTATAATAAGAAATAATCAATGGTGATAAACACTTTGCGGTACAGCTTGCGGTAAAGGATCCGTGTTTCAAAACCCACAAATCACAAATTAAGCCTCCTTCCTAACCGATGCACGCTAGGCAAATTTTTCAAAAACCTGACCAAAAGTCAAAAAATAAAGATTATTATTTTAAATTTATTATTTTAAAATAACATAAACAAAGCCCTGTCGCACTTTATTCTTTAAAAAATATTTTTATAAATTTTAAAAGGATCCCTAAGTGCTATAAAAAAAAAAGTTTGATGTATATTATTTTTTCTAAAACGTAATAATGAACACACACTAACAAATTTAATTTTCAAAAAATGCTTTTCTTCGATTAAGAAAAATGCGTCTTGTCCAAAGTTTATTGACTCTAACAATTAGAGTTATTTTAAAAAAAAAACTATTTAACGACTTTACTTTTAAATCTGCAATAATGACATTTTGTCTTCTTTGTTTAATTTGACGTACAAAGGTTAGTTTTTTGAGGCATTAGACTCTAATGACTCTAATGATTTAAAAGTAAAGTCGTTAAATAGTTTTTTTTTTAAATAACACTTAATTATTTACAAGAATAAGTTTTTTAGCATTTTGTGAAAATATATTTGTATACTAACATTTTTTTTAATTTTTATTTATATATTTGTGTTATAAGGACAATTCCACAGCCAAAAATGAATAGAAGTCAAATTTTGAATTCTTTTTAGTCAGTTTATAACAAATGAATTTTGATGTAGACACATGAAATTTTATTTAAATTACTTTCTTAGTACAAAAATAAATTTATTTCAGTCATTTTTATGGTTCCGAAAGTGACGGTTATTCTCTTTGTGTTTTGATTAAAAAAATAGTTATTGTAAAATGTTTTACTTAAATTAATATTTATGGGGTAATGTATAACTCTTATAACTCGCGCCGATGTGTGGTAATGGGGGGAGGGGATTGTGTTAGTATAAAATTATTTCTTTAGCCCGTAATTGTTAACTTTTAACATACTCTCATATTTAAACTTTTAACATACTCTCATATTTACATATCTCTCAAATTTAAATATTATCTTATGATTTTCTCGTTTGGCGGAAATTAGGTGCACTCCAAAGTATTTTTTGTTTTTAGATGCACCCTGAAGTGTTAATCATTTTAAGAAAAATGCTAATATGTTTATTTAATGTTTATTTAATATGAATCCTAAAATCTTTGTCATTATAAGAAAAGTGGCAAGTTTTAGGGGAGTAGATTTAAGAGTAACAGCCCCCCCCTCTCACTGAAATATTTTTTCAAAAAGACTTTTACTAAAATCAACAAGTATTCTAAAATCGACTATTATACTAATGAATGAAATGACTATAATACTGTCAAATGAAACTTTAAAACTGAAGCGCTGTTATACGCACTCAAAATATATAAAATTGCTGTTTTAGGTTAAAGAAAAACATGCTAAAGTCAAATAAACGCGTCTAGTCGCACTCTAGTATATATATTGGATTTAATTATATGATTGAAACCTAAAATATTTATGATTTTTAGGTGCATCTTAAAGTACTTCTCATTTAAAGGTGCATTCTAAAGTGTTTATCAGTTTTAGACGCACTCTAATGAATTTAAAATTAAAACTTGCTTTCTAAAGTCTCTATTACTAAGGTGCATTTTGAAATGATTCGAATCTTATTTGAAATCAACATAAATTCTAAAGTCGACTATTATACTGGTGAATGAAATGACTATAATACTGTCAAATGAAGTTTTAAAACTGAAGCGCTATTATACGCACACAAAATATATAAATAAATGTATTTTTACGGAAGTGCGATTATCGCACTACGAAATATATAAAATTGCTGTTTTAGATCGAAAAAAAAAAAAACGCTTAAGTCAAAAAAGTGCGTCTAATCGCGCTCAAGTATATATATTGGATTTAATTATATGATTAAAACCTAAAACATTTATGAATTTTAGGTGCACCTCAAAATATTTATCTTTTAAAGGTGCACTCTGAAGTGTTTATCTGTTTTAGACGCACTTTAATGATTTTAAATTTATTTCGTGCTTCCTAAAGTCTCTATTATTAAGGTGCATTTTGAAACGATTTTTAATTTAGCTTTACCCTGAAGAATTTTTTTTTTTTAAGGTGCTCCATGAATCTTTCCTTCATTTTAGGTATGCTCATGTCTATATTTCATATAAAGATGTGTTAAACTTAAGAAGTTTATATGGCTCATAATTGCACCCTGATAAATTTAACTTTTTTAGGTTCACTTTGAATTATTTCAAAGTGCATTTTAATATAATTCTTTTTTTTCGGTGCATCTTATAATATTTATAAATTTAAAGTGTATTGTTATATGTTTTTCAACCTTGACTATTATCATTTTTAGATGCATTTTAACGTAAACCGCCGCGTAAACGAGCCTAATGTCTCCTACTTCTGTTTTTAAATTCTGTAATATTTATCGTTTTCCGACAAGAAATATTTTTTAACATTTTAATAAGCTCTAAAGAAAGTTTTTTCATCATTTTAATGTGCACGCTTAGGTGTTTAGAATTTCAAAGTAAATTTTATAATATTTAAAACTTTCAAGTGTACCCTGAAATTTTTATTATTAAAAGGTTTATCGCAATGTTTATCCTTTTTAGGTGCACTCAAAAGGATTTTTTATTTTTAGATGCACCCTGAAGTGTTTATCATTTTAAGGAGAATGCTAATATGTTTATTTAATGTTTATTTAATATGAACCCTAAAATCTTTGTTATTATAAGAACAGTGGCAAGTTTTAGGTGAGGGGGTGTAAGAGTAACAGCCCCACCCACCCACCCCTCTCATTGTAATATTTTTTCAAAAATATTTCATCTAAAATCAACAAATATTCTAAAATCGACAATTATACTGATGAATGAAATGACTATAATAGTGTTGCATGAAATTTTAAAACAGAAGCGCTATTACACGCACTTAAAATATATAAAATTGCTGTTTTAGGTCGAAGGAAAACATGCTAAAGTCAAAAAAGTGCGTCTAGTCGCACTATAGTATATATATTGGATTTAACTATATGATTGAAACCTAAAATATCTATGATTTTTTAGGTGCACCTTAAAGTACTTATCATTTAAAGGTGCATTCTAAAGTGTTTATCAGTTTTAGACGCACTCCAATGAATTTAAACTTAAAACGTGCTTCCTAAAGTCTCTATTACTAAGGTGCATTTTGAAATGATTCGAATCTCATTTGAAATCAACAAATATTCTAAAGTCGACTATTATACTGGTGAATGAAATGACTATAATACTGTTGAATGAAATTTTAAAACTGAAGCGCTATTATACGCACTCAATATATATAAATAAATGTATTTTTACGGAAGTGTTTCTTTTTACGAAAGTTCATTTTAGGTGCGCTCATGTCTATATTTCTTAAAAATGTGCTTAACTTAAGAAGTGTTTATGGCTTATAGATGCACCTTGATAAATTTATCTTTTTTAGGTTTACTTTGAATTGTTTTAAAGTGCGTTTTAACATAATTCTTTTTTTTAGGTGCATTATATATTATTTATAATTTTAAATTGTATTTTTAAGTGTTTTTTCGCCTTGACTATTATCATTTTAAGATGCATTTTAACGAAAACCTCCGCGTAAACGAGCCTAATGAGCCCTAAAGACCGTTGTCCACAAGACGAAATATTTGCGCGAAGCGAATATTTTCTTCATTAAGCATGCGCAGGTTAAACATTTTTGGCAATTATTCTCTTTTTTTTTGCTACATCGTTTCGCTGCTGCGAAAAAAAAAGTCGAAACTATTTCGACATTTTCCGAATCACCAGAAGCGAAAACCGATCTAGTTTTGAATATTATATCATGTGATGTCAACAGTAGAAAAAAGAGAAAACACGTTGTTTTTTAAGAAAGAAAAAGCAAAATTAGCCTGACGTTCTTATTGGTTTTAAATGAATTCTAAAAATTGGCAAGTATGAGTAAATTCATCAAATAAGAATCAAGACTTAAATCAATAATTTACAAATGTAAAGTTTTACTCTGTTAATTAAGTAATGTAAGTTACTTGAAAAATTCCTTATATAAAATTAATATATTACAAAATATATATCACATCGTACATATAAAGACAGAAATGGTAATATTAATACACGGAAAGAAATATCCACATGGTTTAAAGTAGAAAGTATGCTAAATAAGATATAATTGCTTTTAGTTACAGGATTATTTATTCTTATATGCGCGTCTATTCGTTTTTATATGCGTGTTTATTTATTCTTATTTGCGTTTTTACAAGGTGTTGGTTCCCTGTGATTGCTTTGATTATCTAGACTGAATAGTTGTTTATATTATCAAAAATGGCGGAATACGCCATGCTTTCCTTTTAGTATAAATCAGAATAATAAAGACATAAAACGGGTTGGCGAGAATATTAGAGCTCTCCATCGGAGAGATCTAACACACTCCCCCTTGAACAAAATGTTCAACAAACTATAAAACAAATTAGATACAAAATTAAAATTGTCCCATTAAGCGTCTTATAAGTATTCCGTTTCTTGATGCTATTCGTACAGGTCTTTCGTATTTCGTATCAGACAAATCGTTACTTTCATCTACAGCATCGTTGCTGGCGTTTAGCTCTGTATCAGTTACTGTTTCGACTGACTTGACTTCTATAGGGTATAGCTTTTCGATAGGACGCTTAATATAATTTTGTTTGTTTGTTTTATCTGTTAAGACTTTTACTATTGCAGAACGAACTATGTTATCGCTTCCCGTAATCAGTGACACTACTTTTCCTAATCGCCATTTGTACCTTTTAATATCAGAGTGAATAACAACAATTTCTTCCAGTTCAATCGATCGACTCTTACTGGATCCCTGCTTGTGGAATTCTCTAAGATTAACTAGATATTCACTTGTAAATCTTACCCAAAAATGATCACGTATCAGTTTTAAATATTTCATTCGTTTAGTTAACTGAATCTTACTTTCAAGCTTGTCAAGATCTGCCCCTTTAGTTTCGTTAGGTGAAATAAGTCTTCGACCATGCATCAAATGGGAAGGGGTAAGAACTTCCTCAGTGTCTTCATGGTAAGCGTATGTTATTGGTCTTGAGTTGAGAAGACCCTCTATTTCACAAAGAATTGTTTCCAGCTCGTCATATCTGATGCTACTTCTAAATACAACCTTGAGTAGCGATTTTTTGACCGATTGCACTAGACGTTCCCAAAAACCACCCCACCAGGGAGCAGCTTCAATAATATATTTCCAATCGATTCCCAACAACAAAAGCTCCTCGCTTAATTTAACTTCTTCATTCTTAAAACATGTGGCATGGTCTGATATTATAAGATTTGGAATTCCTCTTCTTCCAATAAAACGTTTTAAGCATAGAACAAATGATTTCGCAGATAAGTCAGGTACTAAGTCCAGGTGAACGGCTCTGGTGGTGGCGCAGGTAAATAACACTACGTGCACGGGATACATTTTAGTAGAATTATCATCGAATATCGGTTTAACGTGCAATGGTCCTAAATAATCAACTCCAGTATGCTGGAAAGGAAAACTTGAAGTGACACGATAGTGAGGCAACGGTGGTGACACCTTAGATGTAAAAGCCTCCCCAAACAACCTTTTACAGAATGAACATTTGTTTATCAATGAGCGTACAAGCTTACGACCTCGTAGGATCCAGTATTTTGACCTTATTTGGCAGAGAGTTTCCTTTACACCTGCATGTAGAGTTCGTTTGTGAGCCTGACATATTAATAATTCTGACAAATAAGATTCACTTGGTAGCAAAATTGGGTGTATAGCATTATAAGGCAGTATTGAATTTTGTAACCGTCCTTTACAACGAACTACTTTATCCTCGTCGACGAAGAGACCTGAAGTGTTGTTCAGAATTTCCACTTTGTTAGAAAGGTCACACTGGTAGGTTCGGATCCAAAGAATTTCAGCTTTTCGAATATCCGCAATGCAAAGAGATTTTGTCTGATTATTGGCTTTATTTATAAGATGCTCAAGACTAATTATAAATTTTAACACATAAGCTGTAACTTTAAAAAGTTTGTGCAATGAACTGAATCGCTCAACGTTGATTACATTACGCATATTCAAGCTGTTGGTTTCAAGAGCTTCTTTTACTTCACTATTTTCTGTGCTGAATTTCGTAGGGTTTACATTTACGACCACGCTAAGATTTGATATTTCGTCAGTTTTACTTTTGTTGAATATATCGGATGGTTATGCCGGCCAATATGAGAGATCTTGATAAAGAAACATCGGTCCATCCATCCAATTTTCAAACCAATTACCAGATTTAAGGATTGAGAGGCCCCTTGAGGGCAGATCCGCTGGATTGATTTTACCAGGGCAGAATCTCCAGTGATTAGGTGGAATGTTTTTCTTTATTTTCGTTATTCTATTTGTAATGAATTGGTTTCTGTTTGCAGACTATTCTTTATCCAGCATAAAGCATCCATTGCATCGCTCCAACAGTAAATATTCTCTATTTTAAGGGTACTATTTAAAGACTCAATTACACATGCCATAAGTGAAGATAGCAGTAGACAAGAAGACAGTTCCAATTTAGGAATGGATATAGGTTTTAGCGGAGAGATCTTTGTTTTGCTGGCAATAAGTCTACCTAGAATCTGTTTATCAGGAGTTTGGGCAGTTATAAAAACTACAGCTGCGTATGCACTTTTGCTGGCATCACAAAAGCCATGTATAGTTATGTTAGTTAAGTTTTTTATTAAATGTTCTTTAAAGAAATAGCGATGCCACTCATACACAAGATTACAAGATAATAACTTCATTAACTGATTCCACTCATTTTTTAACTCGTCATTTAGCTCCTTGTCCCAATCTTTTATTGTAGTGCATATTTTTTGAAAAATGAGCTTCAGTGGTAAAATTAAGGAAGAAATGATTCCGATCGGGTCATATATAGATGCAATAATTTTTAGAACATTTCTCTTTGTGACTCTTTTATTTGTTCCAGCTTCATATTGTTTAGTTAGTTTAATTGACAATTTGTCATGACCAGTGTCCAATGTGATGCCTAGGATTTTACTTTCCGCACTTGGGTGATCTTGTGGATTGAAAGATGATATATTTGATATAAGGCGACTGTTATTTGAACGCCATTTTCTAAGGTTTAACCCTGCTGTCTTTAGACGTGATTTTGCTTTGAGGCAAAATTCGAGTCCCTCATTTGATGTATCTCCTCCTGCAATGCTATCGTCAAGATATAAATTTATTAAGAAATTGTTCACAAATTCTGGATCGCAATGTTTGTATTGATATAAATGTTTCATGATAGATACTAATAATAAGAATTGTGACGAGTTTATACCAAATAGTACTCTAGTATAGCGATAAGAAATAACTTTTGGATTGCTGTTGTTTACATTGTCGAACCACAAGAATCTCAAAAAGTCACGATCATTTTTGTTTACAGCAATGTTGAGAAATGCTTTTTCGATATCACTAGCTACTGCTATTTTGTAAGTCCCAAATCTTATAAGAATATCAATTAACATGGGAAGCAGGCAAGGACCCTTTTCCAAACAATCGTTTAATGAAGGACTATTTGACGATGCATCAAAGACAATTCGTAATTTTGTGGTAGACTTTTCCTCTTTGATTACTGCGTGATGCGGAAGATAATGGACTTGTCCTACGAGTGGTGGAAAATCGGGGATTCTTTCTATAATTCCTTCATGTTCTTGCTGACGTATAATCTCATTGTACTGTTGCAATAAGTTTAGATTTTTCTTGAGACGATTGTAAGTTGATAGCAATCTGAGTTTGCTTTTCTCATAATTATCTGGAATCTGTTTGCGTTCTTGTTTCCAAGGTACGGAATATCTCTTACCATTAAACTGGATTTTGTCATAGAAATTTTTTAAGTCAAAGGTTGTGTTTATTTCATTAATATCTTCTAATTCCCAGAATTTACCAAGACTGCCGAGATCGTCAGAATTAACTAAGATTGGTTCAGAAGATGTATGAAGAACAGATGCTATATTTACAGAAGCAGAATTAATTGATTTAACATTTCTATTAAGAGTTCAACCAAGAATTGTGTTTACTGCGGTTAGTGATTGGTTTGCTCTAATTAATTGTCCTGTTACAAAGTTCCGGTAGTAATTTGCACCTATTAATATGTCAATTTCTTTTCCATCTTTTAAATCGTCACCTATCGGTATATTGGCTAATTCTGTGTGCTGCAATTTTGCAAGGTCGATTCGTTGATTGATAATAGGAGAGCATATGATTGGTGTAACATATGCTTCGATTGTAGAATAATGATTGGTTTGGATGTTTTTAATTTTAATACTGGCAAGGTCAAATTTTCGAGGCTTTTCACAGCTTTCTCCAAACACTTTTACATTTAGAATTTCGTTTCGAATAGTTTTTAGATTCAACTTCTTTCTTACATCAGATGTCGCAAAGGACTTTTGAGAGCAATTATCAAATAACACTCTTGCAACAATTTTAGTTTTTTTTATTGAGTTGCTTGTGTCTGATATTTCAGCTTTTGCAGTTTGTAGGAGAATATTATCTTGACAACCAACAACATTGACTGAGGTGTCTGGTATGGTTTTATCTGAATTTGAGTTTACATAAGCTCCAGCATTGTTTTTTTTATCACAAATTGAAATATGATGCTTACCATTACACTGAAAACAAATATTTTTCGAATAACAATTTTTTACAGAATGTCCTGATTTTAAACAGTTATAGCATTTATTTTTGTTTTGAATAATACGTTTTCTTGCAACAACATCTGTAACAACATTACACCGATTACTTGGATGCTTACCTTTACAAAATGAACAAGAAATGAGCTTAACTGATTTGGGTTGCCAGTCTCTTGGTTTTACATGTTTTTGTTGAGAGTGCAATGTTGATATGTATTTTGAAAAATGATCTTGATTTATGTCTAAGTTACTCATTCCTTTTTCCATAGATATACAACGCTCACGAGCTATAAGTTCCTCTCTGAAGCAGTTCATAAGGTCTATTATTTTCCACTTTCCTTGAGGCATCTTTCGTGTAATGTCGAGTTTGAAGTCTTTAGGCAATTTACTCATTATTACTGATACAAGTACTGGACCAAAATCCTCTGAGTTAACATTTAAGAGTTCTAAGTTTTTAGTATAAATTTCGACTAAGTCGAAGATTGTTCGGATTTCAGAGACTTTATTACTTTGAGTAGGTTGAAAGTTGAGAAGAGCATCCATGTGAGCGCTTATTATCACTTGTTCGTCTCCAAATCTTTCTTTAAGAATTTTAATTGCAGTTCTATAATTTTCACCTGTTATGGCTAAACCTTGGATTGAAAGACTCGCATTTCCTTCTAAGAGACTTTTGAGGTAATTGAATTTAGAAATGTCATTTAATACTTGGTTTGAATGGATAGCACTATCAAAACTGTCCCAAAATGATTGAAAGGTCATTGGATTGCCACTATACTTGGGAAGTGCCAGCTTGGGCAGTTTAGCAGAGATTGAATATTTAGGTTTGGAAGCTGGTTTCTCAATATGGAATGAAGATTCATTAAGATTTTGTTTAAGATACTTTTCAATGCGTATAGTAGTTTTTAAAATGTACCTTTAAAAGTCTCCAGATTCGTTCATATCCGTGCAAATCTCATCATCATCTTCCAACAACTCGCTTATTTTATCGTTAACATTTTCTATAACTTTCATTTTTATGTTTAACCGCTCCAAGTTCGTATTTAAGTCAGTTTCCACATCTTCACGATTTTCGCTAGACTCAAGTTCCTTATCTAATAAGATATTCGTTTCTTCTATAATTTTTGATGCATACATTTTATGCATCCTTCTTGATTTTTTCATCGATTTTAGTTGCATATCCATGTTTAAATTTATCAAAAGAGTTATTTTATTATGAACTTCCAATTAAGATATAAATAAAAGTTTCGGCACCATATGTTGGTTCCCTGTGATTGCTTTGATTATCTAGACTGAATAGTTGTTTATATTATCAAAAATGGCGGAATACGCCATGCTTTCCTTTTAGTATAAATCAGAAAAATAAAGACATAAAACGGGTTGGCGAGAATATTAGAGCTCTCCATCGGAGAGATCTAACACAAGGGCATTTATTCATTTTTATATGCGCGTTTATTCATTCTTATACGCGTTCTTATTCATTCTTATATGCGTTTTAAAAAGCTATAAAAAAATTTATTTATTCTTAAATGCGTTTTAAAAAAGCAATTTGATCATTTACATTTTTATATATATATATATATATATATATATATATATATATATATATATATATATATATATATATATATATATATATATATATATATATATATATATATATATATATATATATATATAATATATATATATATATATATATATACATATATATATATATATAATATATAATATAATATATATACTATAATGCAATATTTATTACTTATTTATAATAAATCAATATAGAATATATTATACTCACAAGAGATATTTGCATTGTTGATTTTGATCCAAAAAATGTTTATAATTAGTAAAAAAGAACTTTTTTCTTTTTTCACACTCATTAAATTTTTTTATTAAATTAAAAGCCAGACTTTTGAAAATGTTGAAATTCACAGTGCAATCAGCATAAAGTGATAAAAACTTGGACTGCAAAAATATAGCACATTCAGATACATTTTTACTCGTGAAAATATGCCTTGGAGGAAAATCATCAGCCAGAAGTTTGCTAAGATTAAAAGTAACCATTTTTAAAAAATTCTAAATCACGATGAGAGCCAAACTTAGTTTATACATGGAAGTATAAAACAGATGGAAGTTCATCGAGCCGCAAACATCAAAGCAATTTCAAGTCGTCTCGGGAGTATGCTTGTAACCGACAATAAAAAAAAAAAAACAAGTTTCACTGGATAAAAAAACAACAAAATTCACTGAAATGATCTTTATTAAAACATTAAAAAATGAATCATTCTAGGGATATGCTGCAAATTTTTAACCATTAGTAATTGCAATTATTCAACAAAAGGTTTATTAAAACTCGGTAATTAATTAGAACCACTTGTTTTTAAAAGCATATGTTAGTTTAAGCTTCTTTTCTTGCTTCAAGTCATAACACGACATTTGATAAAAAAGACAACTAAAACAATTTTTAAAAAATCAAAAAAATTGTTTTTTAAATAACTTAAGTTTAAAGTTTTATTAGATGTGTATTATAACTCCATTCATTCTTACAGTACTCTATTCATTTAATATAAAGTTTATATTAAAATTGTTGTTTGCCGTTACGTTGCGCCATTTTTGATGTTTTTCTTGAATATTATTGGCGAACCTTCAAAACACTATATTTTTAAACTATTATAAACGTATCTATTTGCGTCAACGTATAAAGATTAAGCGTTTACGTACAGTCTTGATGTCGTTTTCTTATTGTTTACGAAACAAAAGGTTACAAGCATATTCCCGAAGAATTTTAATGCGGTTAAACTTCCATCTGTTTTATACTTCCATGGGTTATAACTTAAAGACTACAAAAGAATGTTCCGCCCGCATCCAGTTTTTTCTTGACAAAAACTAACTAACCGGTTTTTAATAAATCCACCTCTTTTGAATTGATTCTATAGCATGTTACTACAGAGGTAGCCCGAATATTATTTCACTTATATAAAGTCAATTTGTTTGAGAAAATTTTAAAAAAATAAAAAACTGGCTACCTCTGTAGTAACCTGGTCTAATCGATCAATCTTTACAGACACCCAAAAACAATGATCCAAACATTTTTTTTTTTCTTTTCTTGGTTTTTAATTTACAAAATGTATCATTTATTAGGAAATGTGCAAAAAAAATGAAGAAATTTGAAAATTATCTTATGTAATTTAAAGATTTAGTGAAAACATGTGTTTTTTTACCCCTGAAAATCCCGCACCTAAAAAGGCAAAAATTAAATTAAAAAAATTTTAAAAAACTTTTTTTTAATAACTAATACTAACTTGTTTCAGTTAATAAGTATTTGAAATATTAAAATTTAAAATTTTTTTCTGAAAAGTAAGTAAAATCCTATTTCCGCTTCGCGACGCATAGTGAACGTTAAAATAACGTTGAATAAGTGTTGTTTTTCAAATAGTTTAAAATCGTTGAAAAAGCAGGTAATGTCTAACGTTGATAAACCATTACCTTTGCGACGTTTTTACAGTGATTATTTGCGTACTTGTTTTCAACGTTTAATAAACGCATTTTTTTGAGAAGATAAGATACGTTTAAATTTATACGCTTATTCAACGTTGAAAATGTAACGTTTAAAAAGCGGTTTGTTTTTAACGTTGATAAAGAATATACTTCGAAACGTTTTTAAAGTGGCTTTTTGCGTTAGTTGATTCCACGTTGAATAAACGTTTTATTTTGAGAGGCTAAATTACGTTACAATTTCAACGCTTATTCAACGTTTCAATTTACTGCGATTTAGTATACCAAAACAGACATTGATTCAACGTTGAAAGCGCGTTGTTTTTGTGACTGTAACGCTTTTTCTACGCTGCGACTGGTTTTCAACGTTGATTCAACGCTATATATATATATATATATATATATATATATATATATATATATATATATATATATATATATATATATATATATATATATATATATATATATATATATATATATATATATATATATATATATAGCGTTGAATCAACGTTGAGATATATATATATATATATATCTATATATATATATATATATATATATATATATATATACATATATATATATACTTCTTCGGGAATTTCCAGTAATTGGCTCTCAAATACGCTGAATGCAATGCTGCAAACCGTTTTCCGCTACTACTTTGCTATACTTTGCGTTTTTACCTTTGAAGTTTTCAAATAAATTAACTTAAAAACGCTCATTTGTTACATTTTTTATTTATTGGATGTATAATAAAATTCAAATTATTTGAACAGTCAAAACAATATATCATTAGCAAACATTGATTAGAAACTATACTTAAACGTTCTTAAATTCAGGTTTTGTGTCAAAGTGAGGCATCAACTTGCGGCGCTCCAGTTGAACGCGAATATAGCTATCACGATTTTCATGACCATAAACTTTGGATGCTGATTCAGTCACAATTTTAATCACACGTTCAACACTTTGATTCTGACATGGAAATGGCTCAATGTCAATAACTATGTCTTCAACTGACGAAAGCCATGCTAATATTTGTACAGTTGGAATATGTTTTGTCAGAACAGGTTCCAAGCGGGGCTGTGTTTGCCAGTCAATCAGTTCTTCATAACTAGTTGCTTGAAATCGTATCTCAGGGAGTTGAAATTTTCGATTTGGTATGTCATCTTCACGAGCACGAAAAATTCTCTTCAACGCAAGCTTACGGATCACTTGACGGTTGTCTTTGAGCATAGCCAGAATAATGCTCTCGATATGAGCCGGGTAGCTATTGCGCTTCAAAACTTGCTGAACAATTATTCGATAACGCACAGGAAGAATTCGTGATGTTTCTATCATTTTATAATAGTGAGCAGCATTCCAGCAGTTTGAATGTTTCTTAATGTCAAACCAAACAACCGCATATGAATTCACAATAAAATTAGCCAAAAGTATTAGTTCATTTGATGGATCTTCAGTAGATATATAGAGACGTTGAACACGGTTTGCTAGTGTCAACCAACTTGCATGGTTTAGTCGCCCTGGTGTTCTAGAATTAAATCTATCTGGTACAACACCTGTCTTCACCGCATTAACAATTTCGAAAAAGTACAGTTGATCACTGCTTAACAACAGCTTATCGCATATAAACCCATAGTCAGCAAAGCTGACTATGGGTTTCTGAACAGACATTGAAATAGACTTGTCAATTGGCCCATTAAATGAATGGGGTTCAGTTGTTACACCATCTAAGGAGTGAAAAAGATGTCGCAAAGGAAGCTCGTTCAGATGTAAAAGGCAATTGGACCAGTGCAGTGGTCGACCAAGCTCAATTTCCATTCTGCGTATAACTCCATTGTTTAAACCAGTATTAACGTTAGTTGAATCAGAACCAATTCAAACAAGGTTCGTGCAGTCAACAGTATCAATTATTGAATCTGCAACGGATTAGCCTGATCAACTTTTTGGTGTATAATGATCAACATACTTTGAATTTGGCTCTGATAAAATGGAAATATGTTCCTCAGAAATCACAGTCTGCCTATCCCCCTCAAGTTTTAAAGTCTGATCTTTCCTTCCATCAAAATACAACCCAGTAATTCTACAATCAATCTTTTTAGAGGATGGTCTGAGTAGTTTTCGTTCTCTGCGAATTTTATTCTGATCCACTGGCCCCATATGTTCTATACCAAAATCAACCAAAGTTGCTGATACAATCGCGGCAACTGCTCTATCTGATATGTCAAAACCATCTGCTTGTTGAGCAATATTTTTTA